AAAGAAAAGTGTGGGCAGAGCAGGCAATGAGCCACATCACCAGCCCACAGAATCATTATTTATGTTGTCCTCACCACAGTCCTGAGCAAAATGCTGAGCACATAATAAACTGAAACCAACCAATATGGGAGGAAGGGTTGTTCACCAAGTGCTACTATGCCCCTGGCGCTGTGCTGGACGCACAGGGAGTGGGAACAGTCTGCTGACGGTTTTAATAGTCTTAAATAAGACGATCTAAAGTCATATTTTAATTAAAAAATAAAGTCATGCTTAACTTATTTAATAGTCTTAAACAAGAAACAGTTATTGTTTCCCCAGAGCTCCTAATTCAAATGTGTCACTGGCCTAGCTACTTGACCTTGGACAAGCTATCTCAACCACCTGGGCCACAGCTTCCTCAACTGACAGATGGAGCATCTTCACCAACCTCCAGAATACGATAAGGTCCTGTAAGGTAACCCTTCTAAAAAAGCTTTAAAAAAATACACATGCTATATTCAATTTCTTGTAATGAGCTATAATGGAAAAGAATCTGAAAAAAAAAACGTATGTGTATGTATAACTGAATTGCCTTGCTGTACACCTGAAACTAACATTGTAAATCGACTACACTTCTATAAAAAATAAGAATTAAAAAAAAAACAATACTGTAGCCTCTCAACACAACAAAACCCTCTCAAATGGCACAGGTTTTACATTGCTTTTTGTTCCTGTCTCTTTTCCCATTTCCCACAATACAGAATCCAACTGCTACCATTGGACAGAACAATCCCAACTATTACCACTATATGTTCATTACTTGTATGGCTCATTCAAATGATGATTAAGGAAATTCATTCACTATTATCAAAAAGACAACAAATAACAAGTGTTGGCAAGGACATGGAGAAAGGGGAACCCTTGTGCATTGTTGGTGGAAGTGTAAATTGGTGCAGCCACATGGAAAACAGTATGGAGGTTCCTCAAAAAATGAAAAATAGAACTACCATATGATCCAAAAATTTCTTTCTGCATATTTATCCAAAGAAAACAAAAACACGAATTAGAAAAGATACATGTATCACTATTTTCACTGCAGCATCATTTATAATAACCCAGATATGGAAACAACCTAAGTGCTCATCAAGAGATGAATAAATAAAGATGCATGTGTGTGCATGTGTGCGTAAAATGGAATATTACTCAACCAAAAAAGGAATGAAATCCTGCCATTTGTGACAACATGGATGGACCTAGAGGGTATTATGCTAAGTGAAATAAGTTAGAGAAAGACAAATACTGAATGATTTCACTTATACGTGGAATCTAAAAAACAAAAGTAATGAACAAACATAACAAAAGAGAAACAGGCATAAATACAGAGAACAAATAGTGGTTGCCATTGGGGATAGGGGTGAGGGGATGCAAGGAATAGGTGAGGAAGATTAAGAGGTACAAACCTCCGGTTTCAAAATATATGAGTCACAGGTATGAAATGTACAGTGTGGGGAATATAGTCAATAATTATGTAAGACCTTTGTATGGTGAAAGATGATAACTAGACATGGTAATCATTTTGCAATGTATTGAAATACTGAATTGCTATGTTGTGTAACTGGAACTAACAGTGTTGTAGGTCAATTATACTTCAAAAACAAACAAACAAACTCATAGAAAAAGATCAGATTTGTGGTTACCACAGGTGGGGTGTAAGGGGAGGGGAAACTGAATGAAGAGAGTCAAAAGGCAAAAAGTTCCAGTTATAAGATAAGTAAGTACTAGGGATGTAATGTATAACACGATACATATAATTATGTTTATATACAAAATTTGTATGTTATACATGAAATTTGCTGAGAGCAAATCTCAAGAAGAAAATTTTTTCTATATCTTTAATTTTGTATCTGTATGAGTTGATGGATGTTCACTAAATTTAATATGGTAATCATTTCATGATATATATAAGTCAAATTATCATGCCGTACACCTTAAACTTACACAATGTTGTATGTCAATTATATTTCAATAAAA